TGCGTGAGTACTGCTCACATTGAACAACCCTCACCTGAAGTTGGTCAATAAGACTCTTGTTCTTTTTGTACCTCTCGTGCAAGCCCTCGTTTTCCTTCTTCAGAGCCTCGCTTTCCCCACTTGCCTCCTCAAGCTTGTTCTTCATATATTCAAAATCCGCGTTTATAAAATTCATGCTCTCATTTAGGCCCCTCATTTCAATACGGAGCTCGCGAAGCTAACTACAATCATCTCTTCCTGACGTAGACGCCGCGGGTTTAGTCATCACACTTCGCAATCAAGAACAGCAATTAAACTCAGCAGCAGCCACAGCAGTTACAATATACAGTTTCGGTGGAAAAAAAATCACCACACCAACCTGCGGAGCGAACAACACTTGTTTAGGCGAGGCATCCGCTGGCTGTCGCTGCCGCTGAATGACGGTTCCAGCAAAAGTAGTCCTCTTTTCTGGGCTCACTTGGTGACGTCGATGGTAAACAGCGGCTTCCGGCGCTGCGTCACTCCCGGTGGAAGGAATAGCTTGCCCAGGCGCTAATATTTGTGTTCGTGCTGCTTTTTTCTTTTCTTACACAGGTAATTGTCATGTAAAATAATGAACTGCGGGCCCTTTAATGGGCTTTTGGGCATTTCGATGATTAATTGCTTTAGCATTTATTCTAAGCCACGGGTGATGAGTTTAGAGTATGTTAACAAAACGCATAATTTAAGAAACTTTATTCTCATTACAAAAACCTAAAAACAAAATTTGAGTTAGGAAACAAAAGTTTTTTTTTTTTTTTTTTAAGGCAACACAGACATGGGACATGGAACTTTGTATTAATCCTGTTTTCTATCTTGATAATGATGTCATGGTTTGTCCTAGGCTAGAAAGAAAACGCTGAGACATTTCTGTAAAGACTATTATGGTTAAAATCCGTATTATTGTGACTGTGGTGGGGCCTACATTACCGCAATTTGTATTAATTATAATACAACTAAGATATTTTAATACGTAGTTTTTCAGGCTCTAATATAATTTGTTTCTTATGATCTAATTTTAGGCTCGCAAAAACTATGGCAATCCAAAGTTGAAAAATTGTCATCACTGGTGCGACTTGCAGCAAATTTATTCATAAGATATAAAGAAATAAAAATTGTTTAAAATAAATTAAAACGTTTTAGCTAGTCAGACAAGTCCGTGTAAAATGGCAATCATTGTGAGTAAAGCATATGGTGCTATCAAAGTCGCGACTTTTGACAATCGGCAAAGCTTCCGAAGTCGCTGCCAATCCTTCCGGACCAAATGCCCAAAAATACAAAAGGGGGGTTCCGTTTCTCTTTTTTTTTTATTACAAAGATTGCAGAACATTTTTTTTTTCATATTTACGCACCGTTGTTTTGCCAACTTCAGCCTTTCCATTTCGAAGGAACGCCTACCCGCTTGCACGTCTGCTCCCTGCAGCACGTTTCGTTGTCGTGGAAGACCGGTGAAACAGTAGTGAGTTTTATCATTGCGTACATGAGCGAGCGCCAGCACTGCCTATCTGCGTTAACGTTGAGTGTTTCACACTGCCCGCGCGCGGAGCCCAAAATTACGGTCTCTGGTTGGCGCATGGCAACGGCGCATATGCGCAATGGGGAACACGCAAAATCTAACGCAAAACACACGGCGCTTGCGTTTGCTTTTATATGTAATACTTAAACTCTCTAGATAGTAAGGCACAATCCCATACCGGCTGCAGCACAACACTGGGACCGTGGAGAGTGTTGTTTGCATTCAGAAATGTCATTTCGCGAGCCATAATCGCGAGCAGTTTTGTCGTGCCCGCTGAGCAGGAGAACCGGGGGACCCTCTCTAGAGCGGTTCCCGTTTCCGCCGCGAGAGGGCAAGCAACGAGCTGGAGACGCGAATACAGGAACTCTAGCTGAGCTAAGACTTGAGCGCCATCTGTACTCTGAAAGATGATGAATAAAACAGACTCCGCGCACTCTTAAGTTTTACTGCTTAAATCGAGTTTTATGTAAAAACTACGTGTGAAAACGTGTCTTTTTCTGGCCCAAATGCTTATATAATGTTTTAGCTTTGAACATATTCTCTTATATCCACATTGCTACACCCCAAAATTGTTAAGTTCTTTCAGCCGAGAGATCTCCCGTCAAACTACTGGAAAACTGTCGGAGTCAAGAATCAATTTTATTATCAGGTGCCCAGCCACAACCATATGGACTTAGTGCCGGCACACCCAGATATTGAAACACTAAACACAAGTTACATAAAGCCATAACGACAATATATACGTAAAAAAATAAACAACTAGTAAAAACTCACAAGCGTTATAACTTAAAAGAACACTGCAATTGAACATAAAAAAGATGACAGAGAAAAATAATATTATTTGAAGTTTATAGGATAAAGCGAAATGAGGAGAGCTTCACATGATATTAAGTAAAGATTAGAGATTTTTAAATGTTTTGTTAATCCTTCAATATCATTAGTTCAGTATAGATTTTGAAAAATAAGCCACCTCCAGTCTTTCTTCGTGCCCGTTGTAATATTGTGATATTCTGGGGATTGGTCCTAATCTAATATAAGCTCTAGCTTTTAAAACAAGAAATTGAGCCTTGTAGGCGCTCTAGGTAGCCCAACAGATTTAGTTTAGAAAAAGAGAATGGAGAATAAACTGGTACGTACGTGTGGAGCTTGTTAAAAAAATAACAAAACGATTCTTTTCGTCGTCGACGTGGGTTAAGTAATCGTGCGCTGTTCGACATAACCTTATAACTGAAATAATAATGCTGATTCTTAATCAAATAGTGATGCTTCAATACTGAAATAAATTGATGCTTCGCCGGATATTTCGGTGAATATAGTATAATTTATTTATTTATTTGACATACTATTATTTCAAACCACGCCTTTGATAGGGGTGGAAAGCAAAGCCAGGCCTTGAAAAGGAAAATGATTTAAATAAAATATACAACGGAAATCAAAGAACAATCCAGAAACTGCGGTGCATAAATTACGAACAGTACAAATAGGTACAGATTATAGTAAATCGGTATACTTAGGAAAAAAACACAAACTGTCATATACAACACTTATGCTGTATCCAAATAGGATGAAAACAAGATTGAATTATGGAGCGAAGCAACTTTTTTGAAACACAATCCAGTGTCTCACTATGCGTAGAAAAAAAAACAATCTTGATTAAACGAAGATGATTGCAAGCAACCTGAGTCCTTGTCAGAGTGATACATGGTTGACGAAATGTTATGTAACTTGATAGGTCAATGAGCAGTGAAACAGAAAAAGCAATGAAAAGAAGTTTCAAGCATCTGTTTTTCCGGCTAGATTAAGGTGAGTCTTACAGACCTCCTCCACACCATCTGTGCGTAGGTCCAGTTTAGTACGTCTGCGTAAGCTGTAGAAAGCAAAAAAGTACATGGAATGTTAAATTCTCCAGCCATATGCTTCTATTAACAACGCATAAAGTATTTTACACTCCATGAACATCAGCTCGCTGGTTTGGATCCAGTACGATACCGTGGCTTCTTTACATCACGTAAAACAATTGATATTTTTATTCGGTACCACTTAGAAACAGGCGCTGTGTGTTTTGAAATTACTCCAGTTTTTGAACGATTTAGAAGTCGCCTGTTTTCTTTGCACCAATTGTCGTATGAACTCATGTCGGTCATTAGCTTCATGAAGCAGTCATTTGCTCCAATACTTTGTATATTCATATATTGGAATATACCGTACCCCGATACCCAATAAATTATTTCGATCTTTGGATTATGGCATGGAAATCTTATTGAATTCTATCATGATTTCAGGCTTCCAGAAATTATTCCTTTCTCAGCAACCTGAATTTCATGCTTCCGGAAACAACTCCAGTTAGATTTCCAGCTTTATATTCCAGATAGCGAAAAGTTATAATGGATTTGGGGTAGTGAATGAATTTGAGATAAGACGAAAATGTATGGAAAATAAAAAGGGACGCAAACAACTTCCTGGTGCACACCGTACTTTAATTTGTATATCGTGGAGGTCGAGTCATTAACTCATAAAAGCGTTTTTTTTTTTAGACCGCAGCTCTTTGGCGCCCGTTTCCGGCTTGAGCGGCGTCGCCGTTGCCGTCGGCGTAACTGCGCGGTGCATTATGGATAGTATACCATAATGCACAAGGAGGGGAAGAGGACGTGGGGGATGGGAGGAAAAGGGGAAGAGGACGTGGGGGATGGGAGGAGGAGGGGCAGAGGACGAGGGGGAGGGGAGAAAGAGGGGGAGAAGGACGAAGAGGAAAAGGAGGACAGGAGGGGAGGAGCTTGGAGGACGAGGGGAAGAGGGGTATACCCTCCCTTCAGTACCCTTCCCTCTTCCTCCTCGAGAGCTGCGCTCCTATTCGGCGTTACAGGGTGTTGTAAACGTCTTTCATTTTTGCTCTGTAGATATACAATTCTATACAATTTAAATACCTCCATCAATACCATAGTGACAGAGGTTATGTAAAAATAATACATGATTAGTAAGGTTGAAGGCCTTGCTAAAATAAAAATAAAAATATAATAATAATAATAAAATAATACTGATAATAATAATATAATAATAATAATATATTAATAATTTTAATAATAGTAACAATAATAATAATAATAATAATAATAGTAATAATGTTTATTTCAATTTTAAAGAAATGGTGGAGAGACAGGGAAAAAGCTTCAATGCAAAGCTAGTCGAGGTTAGAGCCACACCGGCAGTGGTATAAATCACTTCGGGCAGTTTAAACAATACCAATACGCAAAAACTTATTATTACAGTAAAAAAACCAGAATAACTAAGTTAGACATTTACAATTTAAGTTCAAATATTCGAGAGAGAGCACGTAACTGTCCAGTTGACCCTGTTTACAGACGACACGGCGGGTGATTTATAGAAACGTCATCAAATTAGTGTTTGTCAACCTGCCAAATAAAAAGTAATCTTATTAAGCCTACGAAATAAGTATCTATAGTCTCGTCTAAGTCCGCAGCAATTTGTGATCAACGCCGTCACTCGAAGCCATATTTCGGAAGATCGAGTTTGGATCTGCCAGAAGTCTGTTCACGGGTCCAAATTCTTGAACCTCCCCGTCTGCCATCACGAGAACCCTAGAAACCAGGTTGAGGTTTATAATTAATCCAACATGCAACTACAATTAGGAATACTTAAAGTGCTCAGATGATACGAAGGTTAAAAATGTAAACTGTATACGTTTACGTCATATTTATGCCTATAAGACAAGTAAGTAGCTATAGAGAAAAATTTCCTTTAAATACTGTGGTTTCTGTGGTGCAAAATTATGGGGTAAATGTTTTATGATGTCGATAGTAAAGAAAAAAGATGGTTAGAGTGCAGGCGATCTGATGTATACTGAACATGATGACGAACCTTGGGAATGGGGTGACAAAAAATTAAGAACGGTAAGGGCTTGTTCACACATCTACGTTTGGGCGTGCCCTAGTGAGTTACGTTCATACGTAACCTCTTACTTCGCGAGGATACACTTCCATGGTGCACAATTTAGCGGGTATCCTTGGAACACTCAGTTTTCGCATATGTTTCGTAATTTTTACACGTATTTGTTTTGCCGTGAATTGAAATAATCCTTCACTATAAAAGAACTTAATATTTCTCCTGAATAGTGTGTAAATTTGATCTCGTGAATACTGTAAAACCTTCAGTCTCGTTATACGCCTATGGGAAGTGCTTCTAAAGGTATCTGATAAGTGGCGTCGGCGTGCCAGTGTGCTCTCTTGTTGTAACGCAATGCGACGCTATCGAACACGCTCAAATGCGAATGTGTGAACCAGCCTTACGCAGTAAACCGATTGCTGCGTCAACCTTTCTAAACTTGTTCTTAATTTGTTCAAAACTTTGATCACAGTCACTTGTTGTAATGTGTGGTTCTTATGATTAAAATGTGCTCATACGGCTCTATAAATACGGCTCGTACATACATACGGCTCAAAGACCAATTGTGACAAGAAGCCAAAACGTACGTTTTCTTTTTTATTCCTCATTCATTTCCCGTGTTGCAACTGTCCCCTCTTTTCACGTTGTATTCCCCTCCTCGGTTTATGTGTGGACAGCGATATATTTTCCAAAAAATAAAAGTTAAAATTATGGCGTCTTGAATTAGTATTATAAAAAAATATCGTGCGAAAATAACAACAAAATTAAATATAACTTTTTTTAATTATTTTGATTTTTAGTAATATAATCAATCCTGTTGGCACCTGAAGAGGTGCTTGTGTGCTCTCATGCTACGGATGTATACTGTTAACTCGGCTTTTGAATATGAACTGAAAAGCGATGCGCATACAATTTTAATCCACTCCTTACCATGCACAAATGATTAGACAAGATGAAATATTTGTACATATAAATCACGTCTGAAACTTGCGCCAGTAAAGTATTCTAGAAGCGGAAATTGCGTATATTTTAAGGAACATGAAGCGACAAGTGCTCGGAATATTTCACCCGGGATATTTCTATCAAGCTACAGCGCGTCTTTACTAAACTGGAGCACCAAAAACCAACGAAGGTGTAAACATTAGACAGATAACAGATATAATATGTCTAATATAAATTATTACTATTAAATATATAATATAATAAATAAATGAAAAAATATGCGGTCATGGATGGTCATTTCGATGTTGTCCGGATTAGTGGTTAGTCTTAAAAGAAAATCAGGAATCCACCGTTATATCATTCAGCCTAAACACGTCGTGCAATGTTACTGTATACTCCTTCATTGACCCTTCACTAACATCCGCCGCGATATTTATGTAATAGCCTGAAAAGCAGACAAAAGGTTTAGACGGGTGTCAAGGAGTTCACATTTGTGAATTAACGTAGAGCAATATTTGAACAAACGGAGATATCCAATTAACAATTAACAATGAAGCAGCGTTTAGAACGCCATCAAATGGTGGCATCCCCAAGCAAATGTAGACGCTGAGAAATTGCAGGGTGTGGCTTCTAGTGTTACCGAATCTTACTTTTGATTCTCTATTCGTCGTTCTTACCTATCTAATGCAGAAATATTATTGGCTGCAAACCGCTAATAAGATGCCGCTGACTGGCCGCGATCTGCGCTTTTAACCAGACAAGGTTAATGAGCTCGTTGCGCGCTGACCTCAGTGGCGTGCCAGAAATGGCGGCGTGACTCGAAAATCCGGTTTTTTAAACTGTCAGTGACAATGGTAACTCTATATTTTTCCCATGTACTTTTTTTTTTTTTTGCAGGTTGTTTAGGTGAATTACGAGGCCAAACTTTTCTGAACAATTACCTTCCTTGGTGTAATAAAGTTAACATTAGAATCAGATTATACATATTTAAAAAATTAGAATAAAAACTCCGGCAGAAATAAAGAGAGAGAAGGATACTCACATATCGTAATCCAGTATCGTATGTATGCGGTGAGCGACGGTTAGTACTGTGCAGCTGGCAAAGTTACTCCTTAATGTGGCTTGCACGAGGCGGTCGGTGTCACTGTCCATTTGTGAGGTTGCTTCATCCAAAATCAACACTTTGGGCCGTCGAAGAAGTGCCCGTGCAAGACAGACCAGCTGACGCTGTCCCACGCTAAAGGGGTGAAGAGAAAAAGCATTCGGTAGATATTAAGTTTATAGCCTCTCGTTTACTTTAAATGATGGGTTCTTTACACCACTTCATTTAACGCGTCCAATTAGGGTAACAAGAGTGGCTTGAACTAAATTCAAATCTGAAAAGTTATTTAACTATTAGGTTGCAATAAAAAACTGACCGATGGTTTGGTCAGGGGTATTGCGCCCTGTGAATACAGCCTTTAAGTGCAAATATATTCTGTTAAGGACGCGATATACAGACAAAAGTCGCACACAAGGAAAAAAACGCAAAACAAAAAGGAGCACAAACTTTAGAATAAGATGGAGAGCAATCGCGAGCCGATCTCGGCACAATACGTCTGGATCATTAATCTCCCGCAATCGGCATGTCACGCTAAGATATCATATCGGATTCGTGGTTTTATTTTTGTTTCTTATGCGCTTTAGTATCGTAGTCTCTCAAGAACCCAACGAAGAGCAAAATTTCGTTTAAATGTATCATCATATTCAGGCTATTATGGCAAAAGTCTACAAATATCCGACTGAAACGTGCGGGCCAATGGGTTTATTTGCAGTCAAGAAAAAAGAAAAAAACTCCCTCTGCACTACATCACTAACATCACCATCATTATGAAGAAGCGATTGAAATTCAAAATGTTTCTTTTGTAAAGCTGCGAGTACTTGATAAAGAAACAGTACTGAATTTTAATCGAACTCGTTGATGCTACACATATTTGGGGACAAAACCGAAGACGACGGACGAAGAAGAGAACAAACAAAAAACGTCTCAATCAAAGACGTTTTGTGTTTGTCGCCTTCTTGAAATAAAAAAAATTCAAATACATTTTTTCTTTAAAGCACCGGTACTGGCCGCTAGGTGGTTGAACGGAACGGATGGGTCGCGCTTGGGCTCTGCACCCGACTCCCTTCTCAGCAGGACCCTAGCAACGCAAGCCCACCAATTCCTGTACACAGTTTGGTAAAGGTATTGCCAAGCTCTGGGCGATGTTTCGACAGAATTGGACCTTTTTGTAGCCGGATGACGACCATCAGAAGAGCCTAGCACGTAGGTAGGCTTACCGCGGTGCCCGGCGAATCGAGCCCAAAGGCAGCAAGCAGCTGGTGACCAGAACCAGACTTGGGAAGTGATCCGTTACAAGTAACGAATTACTTGTAATCTGCTACTTTTTCAAGTAAATTTGCAATTGATACGTTACTTCTTTTGTGGCAGTAATTTGAAATTTCTTTTTGTAGCGAAATATTGGTGACGGATTACTTTTATTACTTGTTACTTATAAAAAATATAAACATAATATAGAAACTTCAGCAATATGAGCAGGCAAGTCGGGAACATAAAGACAGCATGTTCAACAAGGTAGAGAACATCGTGACGAGGAAAGCTTAACCGAAACGAAAACAATATTCTTGTATGACCGCTCACTAGGACCACTAAAAAAACATGCAATGCCCATACAAATATGCGAAAAATAAAGATCAAGAAGTGAACGCCGACTAGGCGTTGTCTTCTTGACCTCTTAGCGGATGTAGAAGCTGCTACAGAGCATGCGCGGCACTAGCTTCGTCTGCACAATTCAGGGATCACTTCCGGTCGCCGTAAGCTAGCGGGATAGCGGGTGTGGTTGCAGCTTTCACTGCCCTGTCAGCTTACAGGTGAGTGGAGTGCACCTACATTCTTTCTTTTAAATATAGTATTTTATTTCTTCAAAGACTAATGCGGGCGTATGAGAAATGAAACGTGGTGTTGCCGAACATTTTTGAAAACATCAAAATGTTTCTATTGTTTTCTTGATAAGTGTACGGGAAAACTAACGGGAAACTAAACGGTGACGTAACGAGTAAACTTATCCGTTACTTTTCAGCGTACGTTGTTTGTAACAGCAATTGATTACATTTGAGGCTTGGTAGTTTGTAATTGTAATCTATCACATCTTTCAAGTAACGGGCACAAGTATGGCTGGAAGGCAACGATGCCAGCCCCATGTGTATGCAAAAAGATATAACTGGACGCCCCAAGCGCACTCGCAGAGGACGAGGAACGGTGGCGGCTACCGCAATAGTAACCGAAGTGACGGTGCTACGATTGCAGCAGCAACAACAGCAAAGACATTCGAAACCAAATTCAAGAATGAGAAGGAAAGATAGCATGCCGAGCGAAGGGCAAGAGGGCGGCAGCCTCAGGAACCGCAACAGCTACGATCTCCAGTCCTCCTGGCCCGCAAATAAACCCAGTTGCGAAGACGGTTACAGCGACAGCACGTGGACGTGGACGACGAGGAAGATCAACTCAACGACCATGCAAAAAAAAAACGCAACCTGCAGCTGTACTATGGTCCCAGAGATTGGCTTGCCTCCCGTTCGAACTATGGTCCCTTAGTTCGAACGGAATATGCTGAAAGGGTAGTGCATTTCCCCCTCTCCTCGCGTTTTCCTCCTTTCCATCGAGGGCGATCCTCCTCCTCCAGGTTTACTTTCCTTTCGCAAGTGTTCGTGAAATAGAAGCAAATCTGAAAGCCACGCGCTCGAGCCTGTGCTTCTCCCTCTGCTTCACGCAACTCATGAGAAACCCAGAACTTTTAAGGGTAATTTTAAGCATTAACGATCATTTTGCCGAGCCAGCAGCTTGGTTTACTTCGCACACATTTAATAAACATCGAATACTACCTGCATCTGTACACATACGCATGGAGGAACATGCGACGTCTGCTATTTACGCGCGTCGTGTATTTAACTACTCATCGAATGCACCCATCTCCCTCGGATGCAGTCGAAACTTTTCCGATCGATCCGGTGGAGTCGTTGCCTTCGTCGCTGAATATTTTCTTATCCCGTGGGGACGGTAAAAATACGCCTTTTCTTTTGAAAGGAGGTTTGTACAATCCACAAAGCAGCAAGATGGCATCGCGTTGCCGCCGAGGTTCAGCAGCGGAGCCCCCTACCCCTCCCCTCCCCTCCCCCTCCCCCCCCCCCCCCCCCCCATTTCGTCGAACGAATATGGCGCCAGTTAAGAGCCGACGACCGAATCGCGCGGGATCATGGGAAGGTAACGGCCACGTGTCACGCCCGATCCATTTGAAGTGAGGGGAAAGATAATTTTAGAGGAGAAGGGCATGGATGCGAGGACGAGTTTCGCTTCCCCATTTTAGACTGGTTTGCGCTACATTTCAGTATACTGTAAAACTAGGGTTTCGCGTTTTCGGTTTTTACTTTCTCGAAATTCGGCGTACTTTTTTCCGGTGCTTATTTTAAAATTCAAGTTTCGTTTTCTTTTTTTTTTTTTTTCTTCAGTTTATATTTATTCCCCAAAAAGTTTACCGTTTTTTTTCGGTGAATATGATAGAAACACCATCGGACATCGGATCAGATGATCCTTGCAGCTGTAATATGTGTGATCACTCAAAGAATAACGACACATATACATACGCGGTCTACGCTACAACTTCCGTCAGTACACACCTCAAAATTGTGAAATTGGGGGGCATAATCTTCAGCGCGCTTCTTTTTTCTTCCGCTCCTGACGACGTAACTCTCTGAGGTGTTGACCGTACAAGAACCAGCGGAATGGCAAAAAAAGAATCTATGGCATTGATGTTCTCAACCAAAGGGAAGTTTGAGAGAGGGTGTTAAGAAAGGTATTTGCGGCCTTCCTCGATGTCCTTTGAAGTCCATGGAGTGATAAACCTTATACTAGCCCACATCCGAACTTTTCTTTTTAGGACCGGGAACTTGACACACTAAGCCCGATCACAGAAAAGGCACAGATGTCCCGTGAAGGCCAATCCAAGACCTCTTTTGTTGCATGTTGAACCTTGGAAGGGGGCAATCACGAAGACATCACACAATACGGAGTTTTAGTAGACCGTGTTTCCCCCTCCACTAACCCTCCGCAACGAAGAAACCGCCACTGCGCCTGCGTGCCGATGGCCTCGGCTGTAAAGTTCCGGGTAGCGGAGGGGCTTAGCGGAGGAGGAAACACGGTCTACTAAAACTCTCTAATGTCGAACTTTGCAAAACCCTCTCTCTCTCTCTGCCCCCCCCCCCCTCCCTCACCCACCTCAGTTTTAACCGAAAAAACTTACTTTTTTCGGTTAAAACCGAATTTTAGAAAACGGATTACAAATACTTTTATCAGTTTTTATCGGTTTTCATCGGTTTAAACTGAAAATTCCGAACCTACAAACTGACCTTTTTTTGGTCAAAACTGAATTTCGAAAATGAATTTGGCGTACTTTGGGCGTATTTGGCGTACTTGGCGTACAGAGAGTTTCGGCAAGGAGCACACCACTGACGCCAACTCGGGTGTCGAGACGATATGCAGCAAAGAAAAGCCGTGTCGCGCAATCTGCGAAGAGAACGGCCACCTGGCAACGGATGCCATATATGCGGAGAAAGCGCGACGCACAGAGGAGATGAAAGAACGCACGCAACGTAGGTCGCGCAATCATACAAGACGCCTCAGGACCAAAACCACGATCAACTTTCAGCAGCAACAATCGAGAGGACAACCAACGCATAAACAGCAGAAGAAGGCAATGACGTGTAAATCAATACAGCGTGAAACCTCGAAATGAAACAAGCAGCGCCGGCAGCCACGGACCTGACCCACACTCGAAAGGCGTGCCGTCTCCAGTACCTGTTCATACCGCCGACCACCGGACTAGAGATGCTCCCCGTACGTCAAGGAATCGAATGGGCAGTAACGCACGCTGGACCTGAAACGCGTAACGTCACCATTTACACTGACTCGCAAGAAATGCTGAAGGAACTATCTGGAGCGCTGAGGATAGGAACGTCAGCCCACGACATCTTGACACTCTGCAGAGACCTACAGGTCACATGCAACATCGAAACCCAAGTATTCTAAGTACCAGGCCACGCTGGCAACGAGGAAAATGGACCCGCTAACAACCAAGCGAGAGACCCTATCAAACCGCTCACGGGTAGGCGCGACGACGGAGGCACCCTCGAACAAGTCACAACTGAACACGGAAAACGGGAAAGAGACTCAAGCAAATAATGCACAAAGAGAGTAAAAGAATATTCCAGGCAGCGAAAACTGCTTTCTAAAGGCCTGCCCCAAGCAGCGCTGGTACTGGTTCACAAGGCCAGAACGGGCGCTGCGCTCATCGAGGACACAATGGCCAAGTAGCAAGTCTACACTTCCTTGAAAGAAAGGCGCCACCACTTACAAGAACAGGACCAACCAGAAACCACAACCTCCCATTCAAAAACAACGAATCGGACCATGACAACAGAGAAACCCTCACCATATCAGCATTGGTAATCCCGTGCAGCACATACGACAGATGGTGCAGACCCACAATCCACACTTTATTATAGGGCTTTTCCGGCTTGGAGCAACCGAGAAGACATTAGAGGGGGCCCAATATCACCACATTGGAGAAGATGACCTCTCCAGAAGCGAATACTCGACAAATTATACTTTTCCTGTGGGAGTTTGCCAAGGAAGCCGGCATCACTAAAAGGACTCAACAAGTTCCTCTGTAACCCTTCACAACTTACCCCTAATTAGTTATCCGTGCAAACATTTTGTTCAATAAAGTTTAGCACTAGCAGAAAAAACAGCGAGCGCATGGTTTTTCACTGTTTGTATGGCATAAATAAGCAATAATTGGTCACGCGAGAGCTTCCGAATGTCTAAAAAGTAGTAATAATTACTTCCCATTCACAAAATAGGGACCAAAACCTGATTACAAACCATCGGCCGATATCCCTGCAAGGTGTTTTCAACACATATCAACATAGCAAGACACAGATAAAATTAACTTCTTAGAAAACAATAGATTGTTATACCCAAGATAACATGGATTCCATAAAACACTTTCATATGAAACGCAGCTGTTGCATATTACCCTGGATATCTTTCTTAACGTTCATACTATCCATGAAGTCATGCCATAATCCTAGACTTTTCAAAGGCATCTTATAAATTCCCTTATTAGCTCTTCGTTGTAAAACTAACCTATCTAAAAATTCGTCCATTTATAACCAATTGGATTCCGAAGCTTCTCAAGAATTGCTCTCAGTACACTTTCGTTAATAACAATACGTCTTGTAAGTTCCTGTAACTTCGGGCGTCCCACAGGAAGCTGTGCTAGGCCCATTATAGTTTTTAGCATATATAAATTATTTAAAAAAATACTAATATCCTCTGAGGGACTTTTTCAGATAAGTGCGTTATTTATAGGTCAGTCAATACCACATGATTACGCAGCAAACAAAAAACCGACCTAAACATAACCGAACTATGGTGTCATAACTGGCAGGTGAGCTTCGACATGAAAGCATACAAGTTACTAACACTCCTTTAGTCGTTCTTACCACTTAAGAAATTCACCTCACCAAAGACGTCCCATAGAACAGTCACATTAAAAAGTATTTTAAAGGCTAACAGTCAACTTGGCTATCTTAAAGCTAACCCCAAATTCGCTTCACCAGAAATAGATAATTTAACCTACACAATTATCTTAAGATTACAAACTAAATATACATCACCGATATGGTCGCCATTTCAAAATGGTCTCACTAACGGAGCAGAGAGCATTCAAAAGAAAGCATTAAGGAACATTTTTTCACACCATTCTTTGCGACTAGCGTCATATATCTTCGCAATTATGCAAGCATCCAACACTTTCCTTACGACGTATGCTGTCCCGACTACTTTTTTTTCATAAGATATATTATCACAACCAGAATATGAAAGCGGCTTTTTTCAATACCCCCGGCCGAGTTTCCAACTGAATTAACAATTTGAGCGAACTCAAATTCATTCGTCCTGCTTCTGTTTTCGCAACTTCAAGGCTACGGAATTGCGGAATAGAATTGCTTGCCAAATAAGATTGTCCCTAATATTAACATAACGAAATTTCAGAAAACTCTTACTGTCTTTATTATTCAGAGTAATAAGACGTAAAATGGTAAAAACTGCAAGTTTATTAGTCTCAACTGTATGCCTGCACATACTTTGTTCTTACGGCTTTGTTAGGTTTTTCATGAATTTTGGAATTGTATTTCAATCCTCCCTGTGTATTACTCGGAAACAGGTCCTCGACATGTATAAAAAAAATGGACATTATTTATCGTCCTCATCCTGGTTATTATCATCATCGCCATCATCCCCATCATAATAATCATCAAACCCTTCTTTTCTTTTTCGTAATGATCGCCATTGTACTTCTCCTAGTAATTATCCTAGACCTCCGCCTTATAGTCATATCATTTTTTTAGGACCCGAACCTGTATTACATAAGGGAGTGGGCATACAAACTAAAAATTTGATCAACACAACATGAACACACAACGCAGATACAGTCATGTCTCGTTAATATGGACCCCGTTAATATGGATACCCCGCTATATGGACACCATTTTCGGGGACGAACTGGGAAAATACACGCATTTTTGTCTCGTTAATATGGACAACTCACATTGTGGACGATTTTTTAGGGGAACGGAGGCGTCCATATTAACGAGACATCACTGTACGTGAATGATGATATTAACTTACCTGAGGTTGGATCCGCCGTCTCCTGTCTCCATAAGTAGCTTGTCCTGATGTGCCAATACAAATTCCGCCAGATGGGCCTGCTCTAGGACTCGCCATAAGTCATCATCACTGTGCATTTCCGTGGGGTCCAAATTGTTTCGCAAGCTGCCTCTTACCAGACTAGGGTCCTGTAACACAAAAATTGGTTTGCAGTATGCTTCAATATTCAAACGATTGTACTTCGATTAAGGACAGCAATGTTCAGAGGATCAAACGTGTCGCTGTTTATATATTACCGGTGATATCCGTCATATCCTTAAAAAATCTCCCGTTTCAGGCTGCGGTCCTTCTGGCAAAGGTGGTGCAGTATAACATACCAATTAAATTTTATGTAATGGTAAGAGGTTGTTTTTTCAGGCTTGTTTCTGCTTATGCTCATAATCCTGCTCTTGAATGTTATCGTTTATAAGCACGTCAGTTGCAAAGCACGCAATCGATTTATGTAAACTGTTCCCGGCGTCATGTATCCATGAGCTCGACTACCATGGCATGCGATTTTGTTGAGCCTCAAGTAGTAGACAATATGAGGTGCACAGTCCTCAATGAAACGAAATGATCCAGGGGAACGCGTGGCAATGATGATTATGGTGATCCTGTGACCGCTCCCTTTGTGACGGACGAGCTCGAATATTCGTGCCCTAGTAAAAATTAAAAGGTAAAACAAAATCCTAAAAAGCAAAGAAAAAAAAATGAAAGCCGTTTACAAATTCCTGTAACGCCGAATCGGAGCGCAGCTCTTGAGGAGGAGTAGGGAAGGGTACTGAGGGGGGTCACGTCACCTGCGAATAGTCACGTGACCTCGGGGGGGGGGGGTAACGTCACCTCAAAACGGGCCCCTAAGAGCTGCGCTCTAAAAAACAAGAACAAAAGTGCACATCACTTTTTGTTGTCACCTATCTCGTGCCGCCAGTGCTCAAGTATTGCCTTCGTCCTCGGCACACACTGCATACACGAGTCAGAGTCCCGCCTAGTTGTTGCTAATGCAGCTGAGCTGGCCATGTTCGAGTCTCTCCCACACATTCCGCCTGCTCCGCTTGGGGACGCATTACCCGTGTCTGACATGAACGGGAGCCCTAATGCCTCGTTAGCATCCTCCCGGCATGGGAGGATGCTAACTTTCCCATGGTCCCCATGGACTTTTGTAACTAACCAATGAACATTTTGTTGTGCATCATTACCAAGGCGTCAAGGTGTTCATGAGCACAGAAATTAAACAAATGAATGAATGAATGAATGAATCAATCAATCAATCAATCAATCAATGGGGTTGGCGATGTTCCATCGGGGGTGGCACGAGGCACTCGCAGAATGGCACCAGGTGCTCCACTGTCTCGGCTCCCTTCCCGCACGCGCGGCACTCTGTAGATTGAACTTTGAGGTCATAGAGCTTTCGATAGTTCAGCGTTCGCAGGACGCTAGGCTATCGATCCACGCACAGCTGACGAATGCCTAAGCTGTTGTCATAGAGCCGCGTTTCAGCCGAGATGTTTGATTTGCGCTCCCTGTACAGCGTCATAGTTAATTCTGTATGTGCCACTTCTACCCACTGGAGGGCTTGTTTTTCTCGCACTCCCCTCTGCACATCTGCCTCGCACTTCACTCCTGTGAGTACATTCACAAACTCCACAAAGAAGGCAAATTTCTTCTCAAGTAGGTAGAGCCGCTTCTGCCAACGTGTGTGCACTGCCGTCATCTGTGTGTAAATGAATAACCTTCTGACACATAGGCTAACATCCATGAGCCGTAGTCGTGCGACGTCACCTATCTTACTGGCCGCCTCTATTGCCTCAAAGCTCGACCACACCAGGTCCCCATGGACGGCCTCATTGCCCACATTTCCTTGGCAGCCTAGGGCCTGTCACCTTACTTCTCGCTCTCTACTCTCCAGGATGTCGCGAACTTCACAAGGATGAAAATAACTGCATTGGCGAAAGTCAGCTCTGGCATTATTTCTGCCTTCCACACCTTCCGTGACACAAGGAACCTGTTGCAGCTCCACAGACTTCGTCTGCGGAAAACATTGACTCCTTGGAAAGCTGACTGGCGTATCTGTGCCTGGTGCCTTTGGAGGCATTCTGGAGCATTGAACAGAGGGATCCCGAAGTATTTATAGGAGTTCTGAATCGGCACCACCTCGCTACCCAACTTCAGGAAAGAGCATGTTGTCTCTTCTGGTTCTGCGAACTGAACCATTGCTGATTTCTTTGCATTGAAGCTTAGGTGTAGCGGTGTAGCCTCTTAAGTACACACGTCCAGTAGCCGCTGCATATCTTCAGCCGTCTCAGCCATGAGCACGATGTCGTCAGCGTAGGTGCAACCTGGTAGCACCCACTTCTCGCCACTTTTTAGATGGTTCAGGGAGGAGCCCATATCTCGACTGTGTTAGCCTCTCTTCCATCCGTACTACGTAGAACATGTATACAAGTGGCGAGAGTCGGCATCCCTGTCGGAGGCCCTATGTCACCGCCACCTCCTTCGACTTCATCCCTGCTAGGTCTGCCCTCACAGTGCTGCCCGATTAGAGAGATCGGATGATAGAAACACCCTGCTGTGGCAGCCCAACTGATTCAAGCAATGTGCGAGCATTGAGTGTGGCATACTGTCATGCGCTTTGGCGACGTCCAGAAAGCAGCACAGCAGCTATCGGTTTTCTTTTCGGGCAATCTCAATACACTGTGTGATTGTGAATAGCTTATTCTCAAATTGGCGTTCCCGCCGAAAGCTCTCCTGCAGTTCAGTAAGGTGACCGCTGTCATCTGCCTACCCTCCCATCCGTTCCTTGAAAATATATGCCAGTGCTCTGTATACTGTGCTTGTACCTGCGTAGATGTTGTCTGTGCTCACTTTCTTCGGGATCAACACCACTCGCTCGAGTCTCCAGTCTTCTTCTATAAGTTATTTTCCGCAGAGGATGTAGTTCAGGATGGACGCTAGTTGCTCTCTGGAATCCTTTTCCAGGCTGGAATACTGTCCCGCCTTTCGGAAGTGTTTTGCTTTAGATGAACCAGTGCGCGCACCACGATTTCTTTGCCAATTTCCCACCAGTTGGGATCACGTGGTGACCGAGCAGCCCCTTGAACTTCGGCATTGATCGTGTGCGCGGGAGAGATCTCCTTCAAGTGTGTCTTTGGATGCGAGCCCAGGTCGTCTACTTTGAGCCCTGTGCAGTCATTCAGGATCGATATAGTTTGCCCTCGGCCCTCCAGTGTGGCCAGGTAGTTCCAAAGCTTTCTCGCTGCATCTTTTCCGCTGAAGCAAATGTCTGATTTTTATCAAATTCGCCGTTTGCATTTTCTCCTGGGTCAGATGCCTGGCTATCGTTTCCGTGCTTGGTACAGTTTCCAGTTAGTTGTGGTTGTCTGCTCATAGTCTGCTTGGAAAGACTGGCGGTGCTTCCAATTTGCGGCCTCTCTGGCTAGGATGGCTGCTTTGACTTCCGCGTCCCACCCGCTCTTTCTTCGTCTCCTGCCGCTGGGACGTACTATGTCAGTTAATGAGGCTAAGTGCAGTCATGTAAGGTGTGTAACCTGCCGCGCCCGTCCTTTCAGTACGTTTTTTTTGTTCAAATAGATTTACCACTGTAGCTACCGCGTTCTCGGTGAGATAGCAACGCGTGGAACCTTCTAGTCTCACTCTCGCACTTTTCCAAGTTGCCCCGGTGAAGATGAATTGCAACTGTTTGCGGTCGTTGCTTATGCTACGTTCACCATCCTCGTCTATATGCACGTGCTCAAGAAACCACTCGAGGCCACGCAAGACAAGACTATAATTATAGTATTCTATACACTCCTTCGACCTCTGGCACACCATGTATAATGTCCTTCACACATTTTGCGGAGGTTCGCTACTCCTAGCTGCAGGTCCTCCGCTAGCTTCCGTAATTGCCTACCATTTCCATTTTTCTATCCATCTAGCTCATGAATGTGACCATTTAAGTCACCCAGGATTACCACATCTCTGCCTTGCCCCACTACGTTGACATCCCTTACAACATTGAAAGAAGAGTTAGGACACAGGCGAGAAGGTGCATATTAAGGAACATAATAACGCCGGAGATCCGTAAACTCGAAGGACACACACAACACTACTTCAGACACAGAAAAAAAAAAGTTTTATTCACAAAACACTCTCTTTATAGCAAACAAACCTCAGCCGACGCGGAAGTGGAAAAACAGTAAATGCTAGTATCAGCCAAAAGGGGGATCACCCATCACCAATATCTAATCACTTACAACCTACGAAGCCAACCACAACAAAAAATGGACATAACAAAGTCTACAAACTAAAACAGCGAAAACGTCCGCACTTGTTTATCAAGAACAACCGAAGGAACACTATCACGATTCCCTGCTGACATGACCCTAATTGTTCCCTTCGTAACAGGCTTAAAAGGATCAAATTGTTTTAAAAATATCTTTGTGAATTTTCTCTCGGGAACGCAATTGTTACACTCTCTATATGCTTGACTATTTTAGAGTTTGGCGACTTTGATAGCATTGCCCTTTTGTGCGATGGGTGGTCCCCCTGCTACTGATACCAGCATTTGCAGTTTTTCCACTTCCGCGTCAGCTGAGGTTAGTTCGATATAAAGAAAGTGTGTTGTGAATAAAACTTTTAGCTGCGTCTGAGACGGTGTTGTGTGTGTCCTTCGTGTTTCCGTGTCTCCGGTTTTATTATATCGCCTTACAACACATTGCAGGATGCTGTCATTTACGTTACCCCGCTCATTTCCCACCGAGAGAAAGAGCACACACACGGCGACTGGGTTCGCCACTAGACCACCAGTCAGCCACATTTCATTACGACAGTTGGTGGAGTCTCTGCACATTGTGGATGTCTGGCTCCAGAGCGCTCCAGCGTCCCCTCCTCGGCGTTCACCCACTTCACATTTGCACCCCACCCAACATCATTCTGGGTGCACTGGCGGTTCTTCGAAGTCTCGTAAGTGTGTTTTGGCAACACCAAAGAGGGTTATGTCCTCTGCCTTCATCACGCCGTATCGTTCCTGCCATTCCTGCTCCCTCCGTGCTCCTTAAGGTTAAGGAACCCCACCTTAACACACACCTGTACTTCGCGTTTGCGCCGCCTTCGTCCGCGTCTCTTGGTCCTTCCATTGCTCAAGTTCCCC